CCTGGTTATCTCACTAGAAAGCTGTCATTCCAATCAACATCGATAATCCATCATGTATTGTGGGCTTAGACTACGCTAGGACCTTTGTTGGGAAGAAATACATGTCTGGTTTCCTACCTTCAAATTTCTTACCTTACAGGTGATAAGAGATCAAGATATAATTGTTTGAGTTTATCAGTCATTTACCCAAAATGTTACTAACGATGCAGACATAAGATGGATTATGAAGAGCATTTACAGGTTGAGGCCATCTCAACTGAAATACAGTCACTGGTTGTTCGCAACCAACCAAAAGGGTTGATGGTAAGCTCTGTAGATATTTGGATGAGGAAATCAGAAACACTGCTAGCTCTAACCTCAGGTCAGACTGTGCAGACTAATTGAAACAGACCACATCCGGATTGGGTTGAATAATACTGAAATTGGGATTTCTCAGTTTTTAAAAGTCTCGGGGTCACTCATGTGGCAACCACTTAAGTTTTACCGTATTTTATGCCCAAATATCTGTGCAAAGCATTTACTTGTCACTGTACAGTATCTTTATCATGGTGCCTCGGGTCCCAGATGGATGAAGTCGGTTTTAGCAGAGAGTGTCTCAATTGACAGCCCACAGTACATGAAATGCGTCTACCTCTCCGCCTGCTAATTTATAGTAGTATCAGGCTCGTGGCGGGCTGGACTGCGTTTTCTGAGATACGTCACAAATCTCTTATGCCAAACAACAGCTTTGCTCAAGCGCCATTTGAGGAGAACCAAGTCTCCACACCTTAAACATAACTATGTTATTACGTCATTTGCTCATTACCATGAAATGGATAGTAATTTTTGAACCATGTACGTCATATTACCTGTTGCTAAAAGCCGTAACTTGAATTGTTACAATGGAAATGTACATTTAGTTGACACATGCATTGCGTATAATTTGTGCAGTTGTGTACAACCATGGTTTACTATTGCAGAGCGTTAGTAGTACGTTGTTGCAACTAGCTTTGAACATCTACCATACGCATTCTGAATATTTACTTCGACCAGGACAGAACATAATTACGCGATCAAACGAACATACCTGTAAGTGATGTTCGATCTTAACTATGTGAAGTCCTCGTCGAAGTAAATAGCTCCCTCTCTCCCTATGTATCACCCAATCGTTGCAACAACTTGGCTTTGAAGTAAATGAAGGTTTATAGGCGGCCAGAGGGGAGGAAAGTAGGTAGAGGGGACGCGGTGGCGGTTGGCTACTACGAGTATTACGATATATATTCTAAATATTTACTTCGACGAGGACTTCATATAATTAAGATCGAATATCACTTACAGGTAAGTTCGTTTGATCGTGTGATTATATATAAAAAATTTTCGTCAGAACGACGAATGAGTACTCGTGTAACACATTAGATCATTATTCGTATTTTATGTTAGTATGACGCTAGAATCCATAAGGGCGCCCAAACAACAAAGGCTCGTTCTCTATATACACCGGGACCGTAAATTACTAAACCGATAATTTATTTTTTACGTAAAAACGAATTCTTTTTAAATTGCGTGAAATATTTTCATGAAACCAAGCTATAACCAAAAATCGCAATACTATATCTCTCACAGCTGGCTCACCTAAACTATTGCTATGTCGATACGGCAGTTGTCTTATACAGTTTTCCTAGCCAAAAGTGTCCAATTTTCATCTTTATGCATTTATATTTGGATGTAATATAATATTGTCCATTTTACAACTGACTTTCTAGTACACTCGTTGTTTCTTTTTATGTGAAACGGTTAACGACATTTTGTATCTACTATATTGAAAAATGCGAAATGTTAGCTATAGCTTTAAACTATTTCATCAGCGTGAGTGGTGGCAAACTGTCATCATAAGACCAGTTTTCCTGCTTTCTACATCATTTGGAGCTGCTTCATGAACAACATATTCAGACAGTTACGTGAACGATATTTCTGATCTGAATAATCATTTGGCTTTCCTTCATTTACTTTCATCCTTAGGTACTGATATTTCCCTGAGATGTCTTGCAATTGAGCATCCATTTTTCCAATTTGCTTCATTTTCTTCTGAAACAGTTGTTATACAATTTGTATTCAGAATTTGTTTATAGCACAACATGATCTATCACTATATGAATTTTCTTTAAAATTGACCGGTGGTCAAATCCCATATGTTTTGTGCCTGGTACCTTATTAACCATGCTCAGGTCATCATTATTAACAAAACTGTATGATTTTTATCGGTAATATTATAAATTATATTTACAGATATGCCGAATTTAATTTAAGCAAGAAAAATTTTAATAAGGTCAATTAAAAATTTAATTAACCATTTGACTGCTAATAAGATTCATTAGTTTAATTGAACTCCAATTCATAAATCAGTTTACTTGGATCTAGGAAACTGGTTTCATTAAAATTTATAAACTGTTTACTTAAATTGAGTACGCCAACCATTTTTTTCCTGAAAAAGATAAGGAACCTCTGAAACATCAAAATCAAAGTTTGAGCGTTTTAAGTTCGTTAAATATTTTTGAGACTAGCTCCACAAAGAGAACATAATATACCCGAATTAAAATTCTAGTACTAAAAGAAGGTGTCGACATTCAGATATAATAGAACATCAAAGATGTCTTAGAATCATCTACTTCTTCGATCTTCCTAAAGATATTTTGACACAAGTGTTGTATAGTATTTTGTATCAAAGATGATTGAAAAGCTCCTCATTATTATTGATATCAAAATATGAGACTGCTAGGAAAACGTCACGATAGAATCAGTGAGTCAGCTTTACACCATATAAACAACGAATGCTTGAAATTTTTCAAAACATCTGAGATAAATTATATATATTTTTTTAAGAGGTAGTTCAGCTGAAATAGTTGCTATTCCTCTAACTGCTACTATTGCCAGAAGCGTTAGTAGGTGAAACATCACGATAGAATCTGTTACTGCGTTTACATCATTACAAATTAGATGCTCCAGAATTTTGTATTTTAGTTTCAAAAATGTGTGCAATTCTTCAGGTGCGTTTCTAATTTAACAATATCATTTTAATAGCGTTGTTTAAAATATGTGAATAATTTTTGGGACTGACTCCTGCGAACAGTACACAACTTACCTGAAATACAGTCCTGTTACTAAAACACTGGTCGTCTGATTACGGGATTGATATTCAGTTATCATAGAACATGGTCCAAATATGTCTTAAAAGCATCTACTTGTTCGATCTCTCTCATCATGTTCTGAAACAAATGTTGTATGGTGTTTTATATTAAAGACGATTGAGAAGCTCCTGACTATTATTCTTATCACAATATCAGAATGTTAGAGAGACGTCATGATATAATCAGTAAGTCAGCTTTCTACGTCATGTAAAAAATGAATCTTTGAAATTTTGCAAATCATCTAAGATGAATTAGATTTTACTTATAAAAATTATAAATTTTTTGTTAGTTTCAAAAAGTGTTGAATTCTTCAGAAGCGTACATTACTTACCTGAAGTATGGTTCTATTACTAAAACAGCGGTTGTCTGATTAAGGTATTGATATTCAAATGTAATAGAACATAACCTCCTGGGAGCATCTACTTCTTCGACCTCCGTCATCATTTTCTAAAACAAATATTTAGTACATTGTATTAAAAATGATTGAAGATCTCCTCATTATTGTTGTTATCAAAACTTCAGACTGCTAGGGAAACGTCATGATGGGATCAGTAAGTTCTACACCATGTAAAAATAAATGTTTGAAATTTTCAAAAATGTCTAAGATGAATAATTGCCATACTCATTAACTTAGGTCATGTAAAGTCTTCATATAGTAGAGTGCAAACTATACGTTGAACTGTCACAAAAATATTTATACCCTTAATCGTCACTATCTGAAATATTTATAAGGTTCATAATAAAATGAGAACATCAAAATGTGTATGCAGTGTAGTATCAGAATATGTCAACTTCTCGTATACAAATAGAACACAAAAAGAGAATGCCATAAGTTCATTATTAGGGAGATACAGGGCCGTAATGGCCGCTAGCCGCTACTGGATATCGGTTTTTTTTTTAAATAAAAAATGTTGGCAACATTGCGCTGTAGCTAGTGAGCCCCTCACGTTATAAGTGAGTCAGTGATTTTCCGTGAACACCACCAAATTAAACTACAGTTGCTTACGGACCTGACAAAATTTCGATTAATTATACAGTGTCGTTCACAAAAGGTACCTAAGAAAAACCGATTTCCAGACACTTTTTACATTCTAGATCATCTCAAATATTTATTATGTTTGCAAATAAACAAAATTTTCAAATGTGCTTACCTGGCATATTTCCTAAACTAGTTGATTCAACTTCAATTAGTCAATCTTCTGAATCTAGAGCTTATATGAACTCTCCGTTAGATTCCCATAGACGTTGAATATTTGTATTTCTATTTATCGTACTCAACAGCTATCTCTTACCCGAAATCTTGGAAATGGCACAATAGATGATTTTTTAAAGAGTGATCTGTAACACTGGCGAAGCTTTTACTCCTTGGCGGTATAAGGAGCTTTAAAGACTTAGGTCGTGTTGGATACTCGTGCATCAGCAGGCTGCTCGTAAGTATCCTTACACGATGACGAATATGGTTCATAATAAAACATCAGGATACGCTTGACCCCTTACAATAACCCGCTCAAAATGTTTTTCTGAAAATGAGCGGTACATTGAAACGAACGATTTTTATTATTTTAGCAGTAAGGTTGTGACAAAACTTCATCAAAATCCGACAGGTGCTACCTAAGTTATACAGGGGCCAATGATTAGCGGACAAACAGACAAACCGACGGAAATGGGTGAGATGGTTTTTGAATATGTACATGTCATATAACATAAAAAACAGAATATCTCAATTTTGTAATTTGGCAAAACATAACATCCACTCAAACTCATGAATGAGTATACAAAACATTCACTGAGTGAGAATATCTACAAAAATTCTTATTCAAAATATCAAAATATATCTTACACAGGACAATTCATCAGTTTTCCAGTTTTATTCCTTATTTCGTTGTTTCCGTCTCTCCATCCCTTTCTTAACCTGAAACGTGCAGTATTTGTATTTTTGTACGATAAAAGCCTATTTGTCAATTTTATACCTATTTTTACTTATTTGCTCTTGATGCCTATCGCCCATTCACCTTGCAGAGCCTAATCGACTCTTTTGTAGGTAAGATACCTAAAATGCGCTCACTAAATTAGTTTTCATATTTTAAATAAACATCGATCTTGAAAACATACCATTTCCAAAGAAACGCAATAAAGAGCTCCAATCTATCTGGGCAAGTTCACATATTTCCAGAATAGAATCCAAGTACTAATAAATAATAAGTCATATTTGAATGCATTTTCAACTCAAAATCAATCTTAAAACATACAATCCAAAGAAGCAGTATAAGGAGCTTCGATCTATCTGCGCAAGTTGACATATTTCCAGTTTAGGATAGAAGGACTAATAAAATAAATCATATTTGAATACATTTTATGACTATTTGTTGTAAGGCCCAAGCTATACAGTTGACAGGTGGTATTTCACTATGCGTGCATCAAAACTCAAATGTATGTTTATCCCAAGGGATCAGAATATTGTCGACCAACAGCCGACCGCAAAACTTCGGTTTCATCGCGTAAAAGCTTACGTATTTTGATGCTAAACAGCAAAGTCGTAAGATGTGACTAGTTCATATCGTATCATATCAGTTCGTCATGGGTAACAAGCAATCTAGGATCGACTTTCCTACTATGAAGCAGATGACTCCCAAAGTCAAAGAGGCCGACAATCGTATTATAAAGATATTACACGTACTTAATTAGTCTGTGTTGATAATTTGGGTCTACTGAGGTGTCGTGCTTCTTTTGTAGCGCTCAGTATCACCGACCGAATGTTTTCGCGTCAAAGGCATCGGTTCCGAGACCGGAATCGAAATCATGAAATCGATTCACCAAAAGGAACGGTTCCACCCACCTCTACTGCCTATCATACCATGCGATCCAACTTTTTCATTCAATTGTGGAAAGAACGGTACGGCAACGTCGCAAATGTTATTACAATATGAGACAACGTCGGAACTAAGTGTCTTTTGTCCCCTTTTTAAACGAACATAACCCAGTGAAAACTATGGCGACGCAAGTTTGTAGCAGCATATGCGGCATTAGGAATTCTCAGCGGAAGGAGGAGGGCTATCCATCGACAAGAGGTAACTTTTGTGTGAAAGCAATACTACCTCCAAAACTTTCTGAAGCACGAGGAAGAGCATATTTTCTCAGGCAGCCAACTCCGAAAGAGCTCCAAAATTGTACAAAAAGAGAAAGTAAAGTATGCAAATCTTAATTGTATGAATCTGTTTGAATAACTTGATCCCCTTAATGTTTTTTCTCGGAGGGGCCAACTTGTGCAGAACATAATACTTTACGAACCCATTTTCAAAGAAACACTGTAAAGAGCTCCGATCTATCTGGGCAAGTTTACACATTTCCAGAATAGGATCGAAGTACGAATAATAAGTCATATTTGAATACCTTTTCGATACAATATCAATCTTAAAACATACAGTTACCAAGCAGCTTCTAGATAGCAAATGTACTTACTACGGGAAGGTCGACTACACAGTGCCTTTCAAAATGGACCCTCCTTTCACTAACCTTACAGCCTTTTCTCATTCGCCTTCAATCTTCATTTTAGTTCTTCATCATTCTTTCTTTTCGAAAAAAAATCTTTATTTTTGATCCCCCACAATGAGCCCTGCCGATATGCCGTTCGCTTTGCAAAAACCAATCTAACCTAAAATAAGATATTATGTATTTTGGATATCATGGTCGCATGACATGTACATCATGAAGAACCATTTCGTTCATTTCCGTCGGTCTGTCGGCTAATCTTATAACCGCCTATAACTTGAGAAGTACCCTCGGTTTTTAATGAGATTTTAAGACAATGTTGCTACACTGTCAAGGACGCAAAGGCTAGTTATTGAAAATCGACCAAGTGGCAGCAGAGAAAGAGGCCAAAAACAAAAAAGATTATTTATTATTATTATATGTTTCAGACGAACAAATTTAGAACAAACAGTCCTTTCGATCCTAACGCTGTTTCCATTTTCAGTTCGTTTCTCACACAAATACTCACAGTGGACTGACTTGTACATCTAATTGCATCCTGTGTCCATCCTAAGGTCGGTGAAACTTATCTTCTAACGATGTTGACGATTCTCAGTTCGGAGACTGTGTCACTAAAATGTTGCAACTGAAGTCATACATCTAGATATAACGCCTTTATCAAAATTGGCGAGTCTAAACATTCATGTTTGTACAACAACGATAAAATATTACAACAAACGTACCTTTTCGGTATTTCCTCTTCTATCGTTATCTACACTTCCCAACTCGAAGACTGTACCTCAAAGAATGTGGTACCTTGAAGCTACATTTAAGATCGTGCATATACTAGCAACTATCCAAGATACAAACAATTAGTCATATCATAAGCTGGTGCGACTATCGCTCTCCAGAGAAGCAATCCTCTATTCTATAGCGTCATTGAATTTCTTGGGTTCAAAGGGTTTCTCTCACGGAGTATGATACCAATAAACTGTAACAAGTTTCCCTCTGGCTTGAAGACTGTTTCTCACAGCTTCTGCTATGCTGGAGGTACAACTAAGTATATCTAGTTACAACATTCTGATACGCAAAGGTCGGTTAGTCTAGGTATAACAGCAATGAACGATCACAAAAGAAACATATTTTGAACTAGTATAATCTATATTTCATAATTCAAAGACCGTGCCTCACCGAATGTGGCTCACAAAAGTGGCAACTAAAATTATTCATATAGTTGCACCACTCAGTGCACTAAACCTCAATAAGACTGCATACTAACTAACGTTTTTTACTTCGGAGACTGCGTTTCTCAGATCCATGTACACAGAAGGTGCAACTTAAGTCATAGATCCTAGTAGGACCGACCTGTGTTCGAAATCCGGTGAGACTGCGTTGCAGCTATCAAGAAATATCAAATAAATTGTGAAATTTTCTCTTATATCTTATCTACATTTCCCAACTGGAAAACTTCATCTCACAAATTCCAGTACACACAAGTTGCAGCTCGAGGTATTTATATAAGCTACAAAAATCTGTACCCCAAAATCGGTTAGACCGAACCTGAATGATAAAAACATATATCAATATTATCTCTGCTATTGTCATCTACATTGTTCAGTTCGGACTGAATCATACACATTGTAGTGTACATAAACTACCAATAAAGTCACTTCTATATATAAGTTTTTGTATTTTGTAACCCAGAATCGGCTTGACTGAACATGAAATATTACCAAAGAAACAGACGTTTTCAATATTTTCTTTTCTATCGTTGTAATGCATTTTTCGATATGGAGATAGTATTTCACAAATTCTCGGACACCAAAAGTGCAACTTTAGTCAAAAGTATAAGCTAGATCATCCTGTCTCCGAAATTCGGTACGACTGTGCGCAGGGATGGATAATTTTCAAAGATATAGACCTTTTCGACATTTTCTCTTATGTACCTTATGATATTTCGACTCTCCAATTTTGAGACTGTATGTCTCATATTCAGGTGCATTAAAGTTGCAATTGATGTCAGGAATCCCAGTCACCAGGGTTGAGATCGAACATGAAAATTTTTTATAGAAGCAGATGATTTGTCAAATCGGAGACTGTAATCAGCGACTACAAAATTTGGAAGGTGGTTATTTTGGCAGGAAAAAGTTAGCAAAGATGTCTGAAATAGTACCTCAAATTCGTTGAAGTAACGAGCCCAATTTTTTATATTTCTAGCAGAACGGTATTAGAAATGACCTCATCCATTGCCAGGCACTTAGTACACTTTCAAACCCTGCCAGATACCCATGAAACTTTAATAAATTTTGGAGTTAAACTTTCGTCATCGTACAAAAGCTGGAATTCATATGTTACTTGAGGGACTATCAAACTATCAAAAGATGTTACCCCAGTAGCAGACAACTTTTATGGTTATGCCTGACACATTACAAGTCTGCCGTAGCTGCGACCGCGAGGCGGTATATATTCAAGTGATTTTTTTATATCCTTACTATATTTTAAGAATACACGCATTATTTCCCATTGAGTTTTCAAAAATTACACAAAATCCGCAATTTGAATCAATGATTCTGTTCACGCACGAAGCTAATTTTTTTCGAAATGCCATTCAGAATTTCCACAATAATCATTTGTGGGCAGAAGAAAATCCCTATGCCGTAATCGAAACCCATTTCCAACACCAATTATCAGTTAACATATGGGCAGGAATTATTGGCAACCACTTTATGGGCCCATTCTTCTTGCCGGGACGACTTTACGGACAGACTTACCTCAATTTTCTTCAACAACAGTTGCCTTTGCTGCTTGATGATGTTTCGTTAGTAATAAGAAACAATATGTGGTACATGCATGATGGTGCACTAGCGCATTTCAGTGTAGCGGTTCGTAGTTATTTACAAACTTTATCCAAATCGTTGGATTGGCCGCCGTGGGCCCCAAGAATGGCCACCAAGGTCCCCAGACCTCAACAGTTTAGATTTCTTTTTGTCGGGATATATTAAGACACTAGTGTATACAAGTCCCATCAACACAGTAGAGGAATAAGAGAAAGAATAGTTGCAGCTTGTGATACTATAAAAAGCACTCCAGGGATGATCCAACCAGTGCGCAATTCCATGAAAAGGAGGGCGGAAGCATGAATACTAACTGAAGGGGGGCCATTTTCAACCATTTTTGTAATCATTTCGTTGGTTTTAATATTATGTTTATATTGTCAGTTGTTGTTCATTACCCCTAATGTATTTAATTTTTCCAATTAAATTAATAATAATTTTGCAAGCTGGACAATAGGTTTTTATTTTTTCTCTCAAATATGGCACATCGAAGGAAAGAAACTCAAGAGAAATCATTTGTTTTCAATTCAACGAGGAATTCTATAATAATATTTATTTGGCAAGAAACTATTGGCGTACCATTTTTTTCTTAACAAATATCGAACAATACCCGTACGCACGCTACTGTTAAAGCTAAAAAATATGCAGCTTTATTAACTTTCACTACATACTAAATATCAATAATATTAACCAATTTCTATTTTTTTTCCTAAACTTCAACACCCCGAGTTTTTGTAAGGAAACATTTTTGGACCATAGTTTATAAAGCAAACTAGCATTATTCTTCATGTAGATGCACACCCTTAAATATTCGCATATCATTAAGGAACACCCTGCATATATATATATATATATATACAATATATATAAATATATACAGAGTGACTTCGAAGTTGAGTCATTTATTTTAACAGTGAGTAGATCAGATCAAAAGAAATGTTTTTTCCTTTACCATTTTTCTGGTAGAATTAAAGTAACAAAGTTATAGCCCTTTGGAAGTTTGAGTACCGCTCTGTCTCAATAATAATATTATGTGCTCGTGTTTGGCGATAACGGATATAATTCGCCTTATCGGTTCATCGCATCGGAAACAAAAAAGCGAAAGAATTTGGAACGATGTTTTTACAATTATTTCATTCAGTTGTATACAGTCATTGTCAGTTGGTAGTGGATAGTGGTGTCTGTTGCGTGGCTCAAACGAAATAAAAAATGGCACATGTTTATGCGGATCGGTTTCCCAATCGAGTGCAACCAACCCCTCGTGCCTTTGTTAATGTAGTACAACGGGTTCGTGAATCATTTGACTTAAGACCTCACATATGGACGGCACGCCGGTACTCCAAGACCTCTCGATCAAATATAGGTCCGCACTGAAATACTTGTCGGGAGGATACTTTATAAAACAAGGTAAAATTTTTTTTTAATTTCCTTTTTATTTTTACACACATATTTTGGCTTATCTTCCTTCTACAATCATTATCTGAAAATTAATGACTCAACTTCAAAGTCACCCTGTATATATACATAGAGAAAATGTTCATGCGGAGAAAGGTATATACAAAAAGTAGAAAAATAATGGGCAAAATTCGCAAAAAGAGGAAAGTGGTTTCGAGCAGAAAATAGGATAGGTTACACCCGTATCCGGATGTGTGGGCATGTGTATCTACTTTTGTAGTATCATATGTGCATTCATTTCGGGGCTGATGAAGCAAACCAGCAGAAATACATATCGCTCGGGTTACCTATCCTATTTTCTGCTCGAATACACTTTCCTCTTTTTTGCGGATTTTGCCCATTATTTTTCTACTTTTATATATATATATATATGATACGATACGATATATTTGCTGATTGACCGCCAGGTGAAAATGAAAGGTTATTTCTAAATTCTAATTATGCCACCGCGTAGATGAGAAAAAGTGATAATGTTATTGTATAATTTGTTTGTAATATGTACACAATTTGGCTGTTTTAAAAGCTTTGTTCCGTACTAAATCTAGAAAAAAAATAAAAGTGGTTTTGGTATAGATCTGGTATGAGAAACAAATGGCAATCTAATAATTTCAAGACCTACCTAGGAAATTCTGCCTTTTGAAATAATCAAGGTTTGATAATGTCAAAGTATGACGTATTTGGCATCAGAATCAAAATTTATATTTCTGTCCCAAAAAGCCAATATATGGCGTACATGAGAAAAAATAAAGTTGATGCTGGAGGACAAGAGACGAA